GTCAACCACAGAAGGATAAATACTGAATGAGACTGCCATTATAAAAAGTCAAGAAAAGGTTTAGTCACAGAAGGAAACATTCTTTGAAGGTTACCACAGATGGGAGGGTAGAGAAGGGTAAATCACTAACTAGAGGGTAGACACATACTAACTTGGGTGAAGGGAAAGGCAAGATATAATAAGGAAGGGGGAGGTCAGCACAAAAAGATCAAGACAAAGGAAGACAGTGGGAAGAACATAAAAGATAAAGTCAACAAAAGTAAAAGTAAATACTGTTGTATCTATAGTCATGCAGTAACAGCAGTAATCTACAAGTGAATACATAGATATGCAAGCTGAACAGGAGTGGGAAGGTGAATGAGATTACACCTATGAATATTTATAGGTTAACAGGTTATTTCTACACATGTATTTATATGTGCTGCCAATACATCCATGAATATAGTACACCATACAGGGAGCAGAATTATGAAAACTTCCTAGCCATAACCAAGCATGAGTCATTGGGCTCAGGACTATAGTGTCAGGGGACATCCAGGTCAGTTGGCATAATATAGTCCACAGAGACAGTGTTCTACACTGTACTTTGGTGAGTAGCCACTGGAGTCTTAAAAGCTTGTGAGCAGCCATCTAAGGTGCAACTAATGGACTTTCCCCATCTGGAGCAAAGAAGAGTGAAGAAAATCAAAGATGGAAGGAAACAGTCCAAAGACTAAAGGACCATGTGAACCCCATCCTTCAAGACCCTGTGATCAGAAGAACTAGATGGAGCCAGCTACCACTGTAGACTATTCTGAAAGGGCTCGCAATAGGAGATCCCGGATAGAGTGGGAGAAAAATGTGGAACAAAACTCAAAATCAGAGGGATCTCACTGCCATCAAGAGAGAATAGCTGGAAGTAGAGTGGAGTGGAGCAGAGCTAATCCTTGGACCCTAGATCCCTGCGCTGGACCTCCCTGGCAGAGAGGCCTGGCAGAAAGATGGTGGCAGCAGAACCAAGAGGTATGAGTGGGGTGTATCTAGGTGTACCTTAGTAGGGCTAAAAGAGCTTTGTAACACTTGCCAGTTGTAGCTCTTGCCAGAGCATGGCACAGACCAGGCTGAGAGGTCAGGGGCCAGAGAGGTGTGCCTGAGGGGAAAAAGGGGAGGCTGTCCTGACTAAAGAATTGTATCCTGAGAGCATTCCTGAACCTAAATTGTAACCTATTACTTCCCTAATAAACCCTGCAATTGTGGGGGGAAAATAACCAAAACTCAAAATCATTAAAAAAAAAAAAAAGCTCTGATGAAGACTAGTGGAACCCCTGAGACTATGGCCCTTAGACACCCTTCAGGCTAGGAACTGAACTTAACCTGGTGACTCATCTGCAGCCAAATGTTAGGCCTTTAAGGTGACAGTATTATGAGGAGAATATATACTCATTACAGCAATCAAGCATATAACATCAAGAGCACGGTGTTTGCCCAGGGGTAGAGCTAGAAAGGTGGGAAGGGGTGAGCACAGGGAAAAAGTGGGAAGGATGCTATTACAGTGTGACAGTTGCAGTAAATGTCATAAAAGAGAATGTGTGTGGATTGTTGAAACCAATTTCCTCTGTAAACTTTCACCCAAATAGTTTTAAAAAAAAAAGACCATGCTTACTAGTCTGATAGAGAGTCATGGAACTTGCTTGGACTGTGGCCCTTCACATTCTTCAGGCCTGGAACTGAACTCACCCTGCAGTTCAGCCTTAAACCAAACAATAGACAGGTCTATAAGTTGAAGACACCAAGGAGGAATGTACTCCTTAGAACAGTTAACCTTACAAGATCAAATGGGCAGCTTTTGCCCAAGGGTAAAGCTCATAGGAAAAAAGGCTAAGTGGAAATGGTAAACACAGGGAGAGAGTGGGAAAAGTGCACTGCATTGTGGGGATCGCAATAAATGTCATGAAACAAAATGTATGTGAATTGTTGAACAGAAAACCAATTTGCTTTGTAAACTATCACCCAAATCACTATAAACAATTTAAATCATAAAAATGAAAATGTGAAAGTCCTGGAACAGGTGAATATTTACTGTGAAGATGAGGCAGACCTTAGTAAACATGGCATAGGGCCATAGGTTTAATGACAAATGAGAAACTTAAAAATGGGTATTACTAACAGTTTAAATAACAAATCTATAACATGCACTTTCAAATCTACATGAAAAAGACAAACATCCCAGTAGAGAAAGATGGGAGAACATGAGTAGGCATCTCATTAAAGAGGAAATACAGGGGTAGCCACTCCTTGGAAGGAAGGTTGGGCAATCCTACTTCCGTAGTGATACTGCCTCGGAAACCCAAGGAGGGGTTGCTATGAGTCGGGGCCGACTCGACGGCACATAACAACAACAAGCATATGATGAGCAAATGTTTCCTCATTAGTAATCAAAGAAATATAAATGCAATCAAAATGATGTTTCATCAATCAGTTTCAGAAACAAATTAAAATACGTGTGGTTGATGACAATGAGAGTACAAACCATCCTCATTCCTTTTGGATTATAAAGTGTAATAACCTTTCCAGAAAGTAATTTTGACAAAATATATCAGAAACCTTAAAAATGTGCCTTTCATTTCCCTCAGCAAGTCTACTGCTAGGAATATGAGAAAATTCTGTAAAACTGTTTAGCTACAAGATTGTTATAATAATAAAAGCTGGAATAATCTAGATTATCCAAGAACATGGGTTTATCTAAGTATAGTGAATAGGTAGGTGGTAATTCACTAGCTTTTTACATGAAAACATCAGGTTACAAAAAATATGTATTCTGATATGATTTTTAAATAATCCATGTATGTTCATAGAAAAGGGTCTGAAAATGCACCCTGGGTTAACACATTCTCACTGGAAGGTGGAGATATGGATGTTTTTAAATATTCCTCCTGTTTATTTTATGTGTTCAAATTTTATTTTATTTTACATAAAATATATTACTTTTTATAATTAAAAAAATATATAAATAGTGTATTCTAAACATTGGAAAAAACTTACTGCTGTCGAGTCAATTGCGGAACCCCTCCTTGGGTTTCCGATGCGGTATCTCTATGGAAGTAGATTGCCCAATCTTCCTTCTGAGGAATGACTGATGGGTTTGAACTGCCAGGCTTCTGGTTAGCGTCAGATGCCTTAAGCACTATGCCACCAGAGTGGTCCTCACACTGTAGTTTCCCATAGTCGTTAAGAACACAGGCTTTTGATCCAGGCCTACCTGGAGTTGTGTCCCAGCTTTGCCACACTTTTTGATCAGGGACAATTTACTTCATTTCTCTAAGTCTCAATTTCTTCATTTACACAAACTGAGGATACTGAAAGTAGTATTGTGTTTCCTAGTTTCCAGGAGCTCTGGTGACATAGTGCCTAAGGCATTTGACTGCTAACCAGAAGGCTGGCACTTCAAACCCACCAGCCACTCCTCAGAAGGAAGGTTGGTCAGTCTTCTTCCGTAGTGATACTGCCTCGGAAACCCAAGGAGGGGTCTCTGTGAGTTGGATCCGACTCAAGGGCAGTGAGTTTCCTAGTTCCTAACACTGTCATGGAAGATGGGGCAATCTACTTCCGTAGCGATACTGCCTCGGAAACCCAAGGAGGGGTCGCTATGAGTCGGGTCTGACTCGATGGCACATAACAACAACACTGTCATACTGAGTATAGGAAATAGTTCATCTAAAGAACTAAAGCTGAGCACCTGGAATATTAGGAAGTGCTCATTAAGTGTTGGTGTGGTAGTAACAATAAAAGTTGTTGAAAATCAGTGCTTTACATTACAGAGTATCTCTGATTTTACAGCCTTTCAGTGCCATTTGGACTTGATGTCTGTTTTTATACATTTATAAACTCCTTACAGCAGATCAATATATCTTAACTGTTATGCCAAACTTGATTTTCCAAATGTTCTAGTTTGAAATCATCATTCTGTTCCACCTATATGAATTAGGTCCTGTGCCCACAATATTCTGTTACAGAAGTCTGCTTCCTTATAACTCTTATCCCAGTTTTTTATTATTTATTTATTCCTTTGTTTACTTGTTTATTATCATTGTCTTCCACTAAAGTATAAGCTCAACAAGGATTGAAAATGTCTCTCTTAACTGAACTCACCACCATGGCTCAACTTTCAGCCAAAATGATAGGCCTATAAGGTGAACAGTAACACCAGGGAGGTGTGCACTCCTTAGAACAATAAACCATATGAGATCAAAAGGGCAGCATTTGCCCAGTGATAAAGCTCAGACGGCAGGAAATGATAAGAAAGAAGAAGGAATGGAAACAGGAAACACAGGGAAAAAAGTGAGAAGAATAACGTTACATTGTGGGGATTGCAATCAATTACTCAAAACAAAATGCATATAATTGTTGAATGGAAAACCAGTTTGCTCTGTAAACTTTCATCCAAACCACAATAAAAAGTTAAAAAAAAAAAATTCAATCTTGGTGGAACTCCCAGCACTGTGGCCCTTAGATACCCTTCAAACCTGGAACTGAACCCACGTTCAGGAATCACAAAATTGTATCTGTCTTGACCGTTATTTCCTTAGTGCCAAGCCCAGTACCTAAATATGACAGGCCCTCAGGGTATTTCTTGAACTAATGAATTGTCATAGTTTGGGATGCTGAGCTTCAGGCCTAATGACTGAATCTTCTATGTTCATGAAGGAGATAGGCAAACATACTTGGATTAGTTCATCACTAAAAGTATTGTTATAAAAGTGAGTATGTAAGCTAAAGAAGTTTCCTTTGATTCTCAAAAGTGTAGAGTACAGAAAACAAATTCTGATTAAATTCTAGTTGTTTACCTTGAAAAGGAAGTTTTTATAAGCAAACAGACTGACATTTTACCTAATTTGTGATATTTTTCTTTTAAAAAGCAAAATTAGATATTCTGGGTAACATTTAAAAAATAATTTAATTCTTCAGAATATGAATGCCTATTGAATTGTTAATTTTATTTTATATTTGATTCATTCTCTCAGGTTCACAGTTAATAGAAGAATTTCTATAGTCGGATTTGGCTTATATGGATCTATTCATGGTCCCACAGATTATCAAGTGAATATACAGGTATACTTTTTTGTTCACTGTATATTATTATTATAACTATTACATTACTGTAATACAATAAACATGTAGTTGTATAACAAAATCCATAATTCAGTGTAACTGTCAAAGGAACGAGAAAACACATTTGTAGTATTTTAAACCTAGAAAGTTCTATGTTAAAATGGCAGTTCTAGTCTGATGGTTCATCTCAGTATCAGAGGTTTCAGAAAATTGGGGTCCTTTACAGAAGCATTAGCTTACAAGGAGCTCTCCTTTATCCAGGAAACCCCTTCTTGGTATCTTCTGCTATACACTGTCTTAAAACAACACCTGATTTTCCCCTAGTCCTTTGAATGCTACAGTCCTAATGAAAACCAAACCCACTGCCGCTGAGTCAATTTTGATTCATTAGGGATCCTATAGGACAGAGTAGAACAGCTCCATAGGATTTCCAAGGCTGTATATCTTTACAGAAGTAGACTGCCACATCATTCTCTCACTGAGCTTCTAGTGGGTTTGAACCACTGACCTGACCTTTCAGTTAACAGCCAAGGGCTTAAACCACTGTACTTCCACGGCACCTACTCTAGGCTCCTAGAGGCTATATAATTTCTTGTGACTACAGACACCCTGCTGACTTCCATTGGCCTGACCATACCCTGACTAATTCTTTAGGGCTATTCCATCTCAGTTATTTCAGATATGGCACTATTACCTAGTCTGGAAAAAATAAATACCTCTCCCCTTCCCTTCCAATATACCAGTATTCCCCCTGGTTTTTGATTTTACACCCCAATTAGTAAAATAATTTTGGAAAACACATCTATATTATATTTTTAAGTTGTATGTATACAATTCTGTATTTATATATTATGCATAAATTAAAACATTATTACTAAAAATATAAATGGGAAAAGTAACTAGATAATGTTTCAACTTTTTGCTTACCAACAGAAAAAAACTTCATTCTCTAAAATATATTATTTTTAATAATAAAAACCTCCATGAACTTTGTGATCTAATTCATCACTAGTTTTCAAAACCTTGATTTATACTTTGTTCCAAGATCTGGCTTGATAGAGATCCCGCACTACTTTACAGAGATACCTTGAGAACTGCATTATTGGCCATGCTGATGGAATCATTATGCTCATTCTCTAATCCCAAAACAGGGTTTATAGTGAAATTCAGCTGACAAATTTACGTCACTTCTCATGTGAATTTGTTGTTCTTACAAACTAATTAGAAAGTGTTACATTTTTAATGTTTTTAACAAATAGTTAAAAGCTCACTGAAATTGTTTATTTGAAAGATTTTTAAATAGAAAATTTTGTTTCCATGTTTTTTAAGTTCCAGAAAACCCCAGCAAACCTCTGAGTGGTATAAAAGATTTTCATGCTCATTCTGCATTGCACTTTATAAACTTTATAAAATACTGGAGAGATCCTATCCAGTTGAACCCATGGACCCACTTCAGCAGGCTATATAATCAATAGGCCAAGGAAGGAGTGAGGACCCTGCTTTTAGTCTCTTTGAATTGTGGGATCCCTCACTCTTTCTTCAGCATACTGCAAGTCTGCATAAGAGACCAAAGTCCCTTGGGTACAAACTAAAGGAAGGCATCAGGGTTAATAGGTATATTAAAGTGGTAAAATGTAAATAACTGTAAGTAAAATAGAGACCAAACCCAATGCCATCAAGTTGGTTCTTACTCATAGTGACATTATAGGACAGAGTAGAATTGTCCCCATAAGATTTCTAAGGCATTATATCTTATGGAAGAAGACTGGCTAATCTTTCTCCTGTGGAGCAGCTGATGGGTTGGGACCACCAGCTTTCTGGCTAGCAGCTGAATACTTTAACCACTATGCCACCAGAGCTCCTTGAAATAGTACCTATGGTGATATCTGTGCTTTATGTGACCATTTAAGGATTGTGATAACTTAGAATGCTCTTGGATCTTGGAAAAAATAACAGGAACATTCTGGAGAAATGTTGGAAGGGGGAAATAAGTTGTTCTGTTAATGGCTGCTGAGAGTAAGCAGTTCTGACTAAACTATCATAGACAAAGGTAGGTGTAGAAAGTGAGAATCATGTGTACCTGGAAATGCTTTGTTCAGTTCTTCTCAATCATCATGTTTTAAACAGGAATGTATGTTAGAAGTACCTTGAAGCCTTTTTCATAATATATATCCTAGAGCCTTATTTCGGAGTTAGGGGGTATAGAATTAAAAATCTATACTACAAAAGCAGCAGGTAGGGCCATAATAGAGATGATATTTTGCTATGAAAATCAGTCTTATTTATATCCTTGCAGAGAACACTTCACGCTATACCCAAAGGAGAACCATGGATTTCTGAAAATACAATTCAGAGTATTAGCTCCAAAGCATTGTATTACATAGCAAGAATGACATGTTGGCTTGGAAGGTTTTGAGAGCAATAGTCAGTCCACATCCATTACCACATCCACATACCACTGCCACTTGCCTGTTGTTGTCGTTTGCCATCGAGTCAGCCCCGACTCATAGCGACCCCTCCTTGGGTTTCCGAGGCAGTATCACTACGGAAGTAGGATTGCCCAACCTTCCTTCCGAGAAGTGGCTGGTGGGTTTGAACCGCCAGCCTTCTGGTTAGCAGTCAGGTGCCTTAGGCACTTTAGGGCTGCAGACTGATGGCTCCACCAGGATCAGAGAGTGGCCGGCCCTTCCAGCTACTGCATTAGGACTGGTGGCTATTTGTCCACAGTCTGTTAATGTGAGATCCTTGGAGAAACTGCTCCTAAAATGAGACAGGACAAAAGATAAACTCATGGGACTATAACAGGCTATATTATTTAAGGAGCTTTATCTAGCTCAACTTCTCTTATATCCCGATGGAACAGCAATACTGATGGACAGCAAGTCTGTAAAGTGAGTTAGTGATTAAGAAAAAAAAAAAGAAAACACCTGTTGCAGTCAAGTCAATTCTGATGATGTTTGACAGAGTAGAACTAACTGCCCGATAGGGTTTCCAAAGTTATAATCTTTATAGGAGCAAACTGCCACATCTTTCTGCCATGGAGTGGCTGATGGGTTCAAACCACCAACCTTTTGGTTAGCAGATGAGTGCTCAACCTCTGCACCACCAGGGCTCCTTTAATCATAATGATACCATATTACAGTTGTTTAATGCTTTGGCATTTTCAATTAGAGTTTATTGGCGATAAAATGAAAATTTTAAGTGAATGATCTTTAAAGTCAGATTGACCTGTGTTTGAATCTTAGCTGTACCACCTATAAGCTATGCCCGTGGGCATATTCATTGTCCTCATCTACTGTGACATGGTTGTACCTCCTTGCAGAGTTTGAAGACTTGCTGAGATGATGCGTCTAAACTTTTGGGCACATGGTCTGTTACATTGTGGTTTTTTCATTTGAGCCTCACAACAACCTTAAGGAGGAAAGGGAAGGAGGATTTTTCCCAAATTAAAAGACAATAAAACTGAGGCTCAGAGAACTTAAGTTATTTGCTCTAGGTCATGTTGTCACAACAAAATTCTGTGTCTCACTACTTTATCCCAGGCCACCACCATGCCCTTGTTTTTTTAATTCTAACTTTTTGTTGAAGTAAGATATAATCGGGCGCTCTGATGGCATATGCCTAAGGCACTTGCCTCCTAACCAGAAGCCTGATGGTTCAAACCCACCAGCCACTCCTCGGAAGGAAGGTTGGGCAATCTACTTCCGCAGAGATGCTGCTTCAGAAACCCAAGGAGGGGTCGCTGTGAGTCAAATCGACTCGATGGCAGTGAGTTTGTTTTGGTAAGATATAATCAGAAAATTGTATATCTTTTTAAGTAGCACATACAGCTTAATTTTTGTAAACTGAACACACTTGTGTAACCAGCAGCCACATCAAAGAACAGGATATGGCCCAGCACCCCAGACACCCTGCCACACTCTTTTCCAGTCACTGTCCCTGCAGGGGTGACATTCTCCTGACTTCTAATAGCATAAATTGTTTTTGCCTGTTCTACTGTTTTTAGTATGCAGAAAGGTAGACATATGCCCCTTCCTTGGCCTGGAAGACCTTCCTCTTATAACCTCAAAAACACTGACTTTAGGTTTTAAAACATCCCTCTGTGAACCCTTCTCTCCCCAACAAGATCAGTTCTTCCTCTGTTTGGCTTTTTTGCCTTGTATCACCTCCTATGATGTGCTATGTGGCATTGAACTGTCTGCCATTGACTATATATATGTCTTCTCTGATAACTGTAAGCTCCCTGCACGGTGCCTGGCCTAGATCATGAAACTAAATTGAAAAGACAGAATCTTCACATTTTCACCCTTCACATACCTGAAAACTACCTTTATGGTCATTTACATTTCAGTCAGTATTTAAATGCAGGAAATGCTAAGTGAACCTTCTAGCAACAAGATAAAGGCTAGCAAAGAGTAAAGCCTTGTTTCCCTAAGTATCTAAAAGCCATACATACTAAAAACCAGTTCCCAAGCTGTGTTTCTTTTATAGAAGCTCCTCTTCCTCGGAAGGAAGATTGGGCAATCCACCTCTGTAGTGATACCACCTAGGGAACCTGTTAGGGGTCGCTGTGAGTCTGATCCAACTCGACAGCAGTGAGTTTGGTTTATTTTTGGTTTCTTCCCTATAGCCAAGCCTCAGTTACTGGCATCTTCCCCATCTTTACTGTGATGAAAGATAAACAGCCACTTCCTGACAGTATGCCTAAAGCCATCTTTGCCATCTTAGAGATAAGTAGAGGAAAACTAACATAGAGATGTAGTAGTTTACTCTGTTATTTTAAAGGGCTTCATATTCTTTACTATCAATTTTTTTTTTCAGTTGGCTTAACTTAAATGTATTCCTTCTTCAAAAATTACAGATCATTGACTATGAAAAAAAACAAACCTTGGGACAAAATGATACTGGATTTAGTTGCGATGGAACCTCTAACACATTCAGGGTCATGTTCAAAGACCCTATAGAGATCCTGCCCAACGTGTGCTACACAGCATGTGCAACGCTCAAAGTAAGAGTAACGCAGAATGTCCAGATGGGGAACTCATAGGGCCCACGGTTTCCCCTTCAGGTTACAGAAAGCATGTTTCAGACAGAAGCTGAGAATCAGGGACAGTAGAACCTTTGAGAGGAAGGAAAAGGAAGCTGGGAGGGAAAATATTCCACTACTTTGAGAAGTGCCTCTCAGCCCAGCTCCGATCCAAAAGAAATCATTTTATGAAGATGCAGCCTTTTGTTTAAGTAGAGAGTGAATGTTTTACACAAGATAAAATAATTTTCTTAAAACTTTTTCAGTGTTCTCCAATAGCTAAGCTTGGCATTCAGTTTTTCAATAATTAATAAGCTTTTTAGCAAAAACTTCATTTTTCATTAAATGAATGAGTCATTGAATTTTTCCCTTGAAAGTGACTATCTTTTCAAAAACTTAAGTGTAATTAAATTTAAGATATATTAAATAGCTGTGGAAGATAGTTAAAAATCAAAAGGTTTATCAACTCACCTTAGCATAATATTTTATACAGGAGCTATAATGAAATGTAATAGATGAATGTAGTTAAAACACCACATTGCTTATTAAATGAAAATTACTAATGAATGTTTTATTCTCATTTAGGGTCCAGATTCCCACTATGGCACAAAAGGATTGAAGAAAGTAGTACATGAAACACCTACTGCTAGCAAGACTGTTTTTTTCTTTTTTAGTTCCCCTGGGAATAATAATGGCACTTCGATAGAAGATGGACAAATACCAGAAATAATATTTTATACATAATTTAGCATTATAATACATCTTGGCTAAATAGTACCATACAGTCTAGTCTCAAACGTATAAATAACTGGCCACAAAAAATAGTTTTGAGTGTTACGGATATTTGTAAGATAAGAAACATTTTAGTTTCTTAGAGAAATAAGAAAAATATTGATTTAATCTGTATGATTTAAAGGCAGATTTTCCATTTTCTTATAACCTTAGGGGATAAGAGAACTGGGTTTAATTGTTTTTTTAAAAAAACAAAACAGCTATTTCAGTTTTCTCTTGTATAATTTCATAGATCAGCTGACTCATCATGGTCTTTCAATAGTTTTGTAATTGAAAGATTCCTATTATATATAGCTGGTTTTGTTCTTGGTTTTAACTGTTTTGAAGGGTAGATGAAATGAGATGGGCTAGTATTCCTACAGAATTCCTGTTAACTCATGTAACTAATTTTGGAGAATTAAGAAAACTGACTTTACATTTGGGGTTTTGAAATCTTGAGGAACTGTGGAGAAGTATCTAGTTGTTAGCATTTGGAATCGTACTAAATATAGGAATAATAAATACTCAAGAAAGTTTTCAATCCAATTTACAGAAAAGGATATTTTGTAATAGTATGTAATGTGTTATATAGTACAGTCTTAAACTATAAGTGGAGTTGGTATAAATTCACAATAATGTGATATAAACAAAGGCGCTAAAGGTATAGTCTAAGACTGGATTATTCATTGCTAACCTGCACCATAATACCTGTCTCTATGGGGGAGGCTGCTGAAAATTGCCAGGATTGAGATGATGATGATGATTGGGTAAACTGATGTTCATTCAACATTGTGGTGATAATCTTATACAACAAGAAACGGAAGAAAATACTAACATATTTCTAACAATTTAATTACTTTGAAACTTTAAAGATACCCAACAGAATCTTCTCTGCTGAAAAGTATGCTTCTATCACCTACACAATTTATCTAAGAAGTAATATATATTTAATACCTGTGAAATCATTAAATCACAGGTATAGTTGTGGCAGGAGAAAATAGGAAGTAATGACATGTATATACTTTTGTATAAAGCAAATTATTTTACATAAATGAAATAACATTCATTTTTTTTCCCTTGAAAGTGACTATCTTTTCAAAAACTTAAGTGTAATTAAATTTAAGATATATTAAATAGCTGTGGAAGATAGTTAAAAATCAAAATTCTTTTAAGTACCAACTTAAAATGAATCCTTTTTTTCTAAATAATAATAATTAAAATTTAAAGTTTTTCCATCCAAAATATTTCCATTTATCTTTCCTGGAAGATAGTGAGGTGTGTTGGTGGCAAACATCTCTTGAAGTTGCTAAAGAAAAGGGGAAATTTTCTATCTTGAGTACCAGTGACCTTATAGATATAAACCTCAGTTAACTGGAGTATCTATGGAACGTGTGCTTCTGGTTAACGAAAGATTAACCAGCACACACTCTGTAGTAATCATGATGCAAAATTCTTCTGTCTTAGTAACTGTAGTGGACCAGAGATAAGTTCATGGTTTTTGATGTTTGAGGTACTTCAGATGCCTCAAGTATGTTGTAATGAACAATGATTATAACTGAATGTAGCCATAGAAGGTACACAGAATGGAACTGTTTATGGACAGTAGGACAGCCCCTGGAATTTTTCTTTACTTTCTTTTTTTTTTTTTTAATAAATATCTATTATCTTTTTGTTTTCTTTATCATTTGTGTCTTCTAAAACTTTGGAATGGTGGTGATAATTCATTGAGATTTAACTTTAATTTATGGAAGTAACGCAACACAAATTAAGAATGCTTTGCTGCTGCTGCCTTAAAGCAAGTCACAGGAATTACACAGTAACAACTACTGCTGCCATCCATTTCTCAACTGTTTTTTTGTGGTCTCAGGCTTTTCCCCCCATTCTAATCTCAGTAGGTGGAAGAATGGAGACTGTTCTGTTCTTCACTGTTACTGTGGGAGACCATCCTGCAGCTGTTTATTAACAATAGTTACCTGAGTGATGATTATGCACCAGGCTCTGCACTAAGTACTTCACCTACATTCTCATTTGTTTCTCACAATCAGCATGAGTTCACAGGCAAAGAAATGAATATTTTAAAAGGTCACTTAAAAAAACAAACAGTGCCATCCTGTGAGTTCTGACTCTGGCAGCTCCTTTTGGGTTTCCAAGGCAGTAAATCTTCATGGAAGTAGATTGCCCA